TTTTTTTTTTTTTTTTTTTTTTTTTTTTGTTTTTGTTTTCTTTTTATCGTTGTTTCTTCGAGAAGTAATTTATTTCATGGACTGAAACGAGATTTCTACATCGAATATTTCTACACAACGGGAGTAGAAACGTTTGGACATTGTTTAGAAATTATTCGATATATACAGATGTAAAAAAAAGAGAAAGTACAAGGAATTCTTTATTTTAAGAAGACGAAAGAATCTCGATGCAATTAGAAACTTTTCAACAAAGTTATAGCAAGACGTGTTAGTCAATTGTTCAAAATTTTTCCTCCCCTTCTTTTTCATCGTTCCTCCCTCCTCCCATGTTATTTTAATTTCAGCTTTACATCGCGATATCTATCGCGAGACACTGACGTTAATCGTGGCCGATTGGAAACGTCGATTTCGTTTCGACGCCAACTGTCTCGCGCGGATTAACCGAACCGGCTAATTTCGGATTAATCGATAATATCACTGCACCGAGGTAACACTGCCATGCCCGTTCGTGCTCGTGTCTATGCCACGCGATCCTCTCTCAGTTGATCGAGTTGATCCATGTAAGTGGACGTCCGACCGCCAATTAGCCGATTTGGTTTATTCCGAACCGATCGCCGTGCGTTAACGTTCGAGAGTGAATCGTACGGCAAACGAAATGGAATTCCATTTCGTTCGTCCCTTCGTTTTCATTGGACGAATCGGGCCGAAAATTTTCGATCGGGACGGAAAAACAATCGCGACGATTTTCAACGATCGATTTTATTTATTAACCAGGAGAAGAGACGACGTCGTGTAATTCATTTCTCAAATTTGAAATCTGTTTATTTAGTTCTCATTTGTTTCTTACAGTCGTTTCATCTTTATTCTCAAGGATTAAAATCGACTCGATCGACACTGATATCTCTGTCTTCTTTAGCTTTTAATTCTCACGTAGAAGTTTCTAATTAAGAGAGACGTGTGAATAATCACGCGAGATAAATGAAAGATAATTGAATATCACGCT